GGAACTCCGGGCTGCCAATAAATTAGTTGTAAGTAAATTAAATGTAATTAAATTATATTTTAATAACAGTTTAAATCAATCTGTATTCATTTGTAACTATAAGATCCCAACATTCCTGCTCCCGAGCTACGGATAAATATATTCAAAGGATACACAACTCCTCCCTGAATATCTTATATTTAACTGGTCTTCCCCGACCACGTTACAGTACCATCAAGAAATTGGATTTCGTGTTCGAAAAAAGAAAAAGGTGCAGTGTGCTAACGGAGAGGGAAGATTTGATTATTTGGACGAGACGTGGTTGAATGCAGGTAGGGATGTCAAAAAAACATCGATGTTTTAAGCTAAAAATATCGATGTTCAACATCGATGGTTAAGTTTTGATGTTCTGCATTGATGTGTCACGTTTACCGATGTTTGCTTCGTCTTCGATGTATTACACAAAATATTTTTAAAATTTTTCATTTGCAAACAATAAAGCATAGATACACGTATAATTATAATTTAATATTAACTTGGTTAAAATAACAAGTCAGGATGACTGTTATATACTTATATAGTACAGACTGCTATTATAGTTTTATGGCTGGAAAAATAATATAATAGCCTAATTATAGAAATAAACTTAAATGATTCAGACCTTAATTTCCAGTATTTCCCACTGACTGCTATGCAATTATTATATGGGTTTATCTTTGATGTAGACTAATGTCTATATCAAAATTATTGAGAAACTATACACTTATAAATGTATTGTCAATTATTGTCATAAATATTAATTATTAACTCGTGAACCGTAGGTACAGTCTGCAATGTAATATACTTGCAGACGTCTAGACAGTCAATAGTTCAGTGTTCAGTAACATATTTTGTTATTTTTATTTTTTTGATAATTGTTTTTAAGCTGCTTAATAATTTATTACTTATAAATTATAATACAATTTGATGATAATTTGATTTGTACAACGTTATATAATGTCTAAGTATAAATCGGAAGTTTGGAAATACTTCGAAAAAAAACTAATGGAAACGCTATGTGTAAAGTCTGTGGTAAACTATTACGAACTTCTGGAAATACATCAAATTTAATGGGCCATTTAAAAAAGTTGCATAAACTACCTAGTGAAACAAATTTAAAATCTCCAAATAAAAAAGAAAAGGTAAGTACATTTTAAATAATAATTTTTACAAAGTAAAATTCATCTTTTTATCTTTAGTATACACAATACTTAGTGATTTTTTAAGCTTTTAAAACAATTTGGATGTCGGGCATGTTTAAATTGTTGGTCATCAGTAGAGTTAGGATGTCGATGACCTAAAAAACACACAAAAATGCCGTTAAAAAAAATGCAAGAATACCTAAAAAAAAGTGCAAAAATGCTCTAAAAACTTAAAAAAATTACCTTAAAAATTATCTTACTAATTAAGTAAGTGAAAAAACTTATTTATAAATAATAATTTTTATTGGAGATATGGGTATAATAATGGGTGTAATAGTAATTTAAAATATGAATTATAAATATATTAAGCATTTAAATAATTCAATAAATAACAATCAAAGAGTAAATCTTATCGGAACACGATAAATGTAATCACAACAAAAACCCAACAATAATAATATTAAAATTATTTTTTACTAATAGTCCAAATCCAAAGTTAGATTTTAAATAAATTAAATTTGTTTCCAAACTTGGGTGTAACATTTGCCCTAAAATCTATAATTTGTGAAAAATGCCCCAAAAGATGAAAAAATGACTTAAAAATGTTGAAAAATGACGTTAAAAAACAAAAAATGCATTTCCCACACAGCAAATTCATATTTAAAATAAGTTAAAACAAAGTTTTGCAAAAAATAATAATGTTCCAATAAATGTTTGAATAAAGTTAGTCATAGATTAAATAATGTTAATATAACATTATCCTACAATTTTTTGGCCACACATTCAATGTGTTTTAACTTAGTCTTATAACATTACACATAATGTTAGTAAAATGTTATATTAAGGAGTATTAAATATTTTTTTTAATTTACTTTTATTGTTTACAAAATTGTTTTTTTCATACAGATTATGTTACCTATACAGTATATAATATATACACAGTTAGGAATACATAATAACATTTGAGCATATTAAGAACCTCCCCCCCAACATTACAAAAAAATAAAATATTTTTTTAAATGGTTGTGAAAACATAAATTTTAAATTATTTTACACATGATCCCCCTGAAATTGATTTCCATATATAATTGTTTGTGCATCATTGTATTTATAATAGTTACAAAACTAAAGCATTAGAAATAAATTATAAAAACCACTAGCTAAGGAAATTATTGACACGACAACATTATGCAATGAACATTTTTTTTATTTAAGTAAAAATTACAATACACCTATAGGTAATATAAACAATAAAAATTAAACTGAATTAGTTCCTCGCGGGCATCCACGCAGTATGCATGTACGATACGTTGTCTCTGAGCTGTGTTATGCAATATTCGTTAATCTAATTTGTTTTCAACTCTACATAAAAATATATATACACAACAAACTTCAAACTTACACTTGCAAGTCACTTGTATCAGCAACCATCACATCTCAACCCTCAAGTGATATTAAAATTAAATTAATTAATTATTAGTATTAAAAATACGCAAAATATCACTATCTGTCATCCTCGGGCACCGTCAATACGGTGACATTTGGACTGCAGAGTAGACTATCGCGCCATGTCCGAGAATCCAACTAAAAATAAACCACCCAAAACCGTACAGCCAATTAAGATAGTAAAACAATCAAATACCCATACAATTAATAATGATTCTACATTATCAAACTCTGAATGGCAACAACAAAAGTCTTCCAAACGTAGTCTTCCTAATTCGCCTGTTACTCCAAACAACAGCCAGGGGAAAAAAACAAAATTATTTTTCTCACCAAACCGGTTCTCCGCACTATCTGTAGATGAACCTTCTAACGATCCCAATATTACAGACAATAATGATGTTTATAATCAAAATGAACCTGAACACGTAACTGCTCAAACAAGAAAAATAGACCTACCACCACCAGTATACGTAAAAGGAACAATCAACTTTGCTGAACTCAGAAATGCAATTACCCAAATAATTGGTCCGGATAGCTTTATCTGCAAATCAACCACCACGCATATAAAAATCCAAACAAATACACCCGATAGCTATAGAACACTTATCCACTTTTTAAAAGATGAGGAAGCAGAATACCATACATTTCAGCTTCAATCGGAAAAATCATTCAGAGCAGTGATAAAAAATATTCACCACACAACCGATCCTACTGAAATAGCGTCAGCACTCGAAGAAATAGGATTCAACGTAAGGCAAGTGACAAACATAAAACATCAAAAAACCAAAATACCACTGCCCTTATTCTTTGTCGACCTTGCTCCTGAATCTATTAGTAAGGAAATATTCAACATAACGTCCCTACTTAATACTAAAATCAAAGTTGAGGAACCTCTTAAACGCCGTGAAATTCCTCAATGTCAAAACTGCCAAACTTACGGCCATACAAAAAGCTATTGCTCACACTCTTCTCGCTGCGTGAAATGCGGTGGGACCCATCCTACCACAACTTGCACCAAATCACCCGACCTGCCGGCCAAATGTGCTCTCTGTGATGGTGAACATCCAGCCAACTACAAAGGCTGTGCTATATACAAGGAGCTGCAACAACGTCGCCGCCTACCATTCAACTCAAGACACAACAACCAACATCATCAACCGCAATCAATCAACCAAACGACGAAACCCAATTACCAGCCAAATCCGCAACCATCAACGCAAAATCCAAGTACTCGAACAAACCAATCATACGCAGAAGCAACAGCAAATACAGGTAACGCACCACCGCCAACCCCCTCCTCCAACACCCGACCTATAACCAGTCCTGATAATAATGATATATCAAAATTTTTAGAAGAATTAAAATGTCTAATTAACCCACTTATCTCTCTCGTCACAGCACTCATGTCTAAACTTTTAAATGACACACACAACAAATAATTCAGTCACCCAAAACTCTATCATGATACTTTCATGGAACACGAACGGACTAAAAAACCATAAAGATGAATTCCTCATTACACTCCAAGAAAAAAGAATTGATATCGCTTTAATATCCGAGACCCATTTCACTAATAACTACTCGCTTAATATACCAGGCTTTCGTCTGCATCATACCAACCATCCGGACGAGACTGCTCACGCAGGCGCTGCTATCTATGTTAGGTCTTCACTCACATCGCATCCACTCCCTAAATTCCAAACCGACTATGTACAGTCGTGTGCAGTATCCATAATAATCAACAATATACCTGTTTCAATAGCAGCCATTTACTGTCCTCCCAAACATAATATATCCTCCGAACAATTTAATCTTTATTTTAATTCTCTTAGCCACAACTTTATAGTCGGTGGTGACATAAACGCCAAACATATACAATGGGGTTGCCGGGTCTCAAATCCTCGAGGTAGTTCACTCTTGCATAGTATAACAACCAAAAACCTAAAAGCCATCTCTCCTCCAAACCCCACATACTGGCCAACATCTCCTAGAAAACGACCAGATATACTAGACATATTTGTAACAAAAATTCCCAACACACTCTACTCTTCAATTGTAAACACACATGCCCCATGCTCAGACCACTCCCCCGTATTACTCTCAATAGACGGTCAGCCCCTACCTAATCATTCTAATCTGCCACCGTTACATACTAACATTAACTGGGATAATTTCCATAAATCAATTTTACAAAAAACCAGTCTAAAAGTCCGCCTAAAAACAAAAAACAATATTGATGAAGCTGTGAATCTTCTCACATCCAATATACAAGCTTCAGCATGGGAATCAGCAAAACCATCACAACCACACATATCCAATATAATTCTTCCTTTATATATTCGCAACCTCATATCACTAAAACGTCGTGCTCGCTGCTTATGGCAACGAACAAATTATCCCTCCGACAAATCCCAATACAATGCGCTTGCACAAAAACTAAAACGGACCATAGCTAACTACAGAAATGAATCCTATATAAAACATTTAGAATCACTCACGACAAAAGACGGTTCTCTCTGGAAGGCTACCAAAAACCTTCTTCGTATACGTAATCCTCCAGCTATACTGTGAAACACAAATGGCAATTGGGTACACTCTGATGAGG